GAGTTGCGAGTCAACCCAGCCTCTCTCCTCCCCCCCCCCCAATCAAGTTTTGCTGCCCTGTTCAGTTCCTTTTTTTGTGCTCAACAAGTTTTGCTGCTATTTGGAAGGGGTGTGTGTGTGTGTGTGTGTGTGTGTGTGAGGGTTTTTCAAAAATCAAAAAGGGGGGCATGATGCCAAAAAGTTTGGGAACCGCTGGGTTAGAGAGACAGCAGCGTGACTTTTGTCAATAGAATCTTTTTAAATCATGGTCTTGAAATAGCAGCTAGTGAGGTATAAGCCTCAGGATGCATTAGATAGAGGACACTAACAGATGAAATCTCACTGAGGTATACTAGCACATTCCAGTATTGGACTGAGCTCTGAGCCAATATGCTACATAAGGCAACTGCATTAGTAGTTTTTTCTTCCCTTTTAAAAAAAATTACTGCTGTAAAGACAGTTAAAAGGCATAGGTCACCTTGTGTATGCCTGCAAAACTGCTCTAATTAAATCCACAAGAGCAACAAAATTCACCATCTTGTGCTTAGGCAGAATCTTTGAAGGCATCTCTTCCTCTGTGTCCAGCCTGCCTACCTATGCCTGGTTCTTTCATGATGCAGTCTAATATAGTTAAAATGTCAAATATAGTGGACCATATCCTAATAGTTCCTTGTTATAATAACCAGTTTGTGAATACCGGTCAAATGATCAGTACTGCAGCAATCCCTTTAGCCATTCATTACATCTTTCCTTGTATTTACATTGGTCCATTTATTTGCCTCATGTGAGACAGGTGTGCTAAATTCAGAAGTGATCCCTTTCATTCTGTCCTAAAATATGGAGCTACGCAAAACTATAGTGCAACTGGAATTTAATATAAGGATATATTCTTAATACAGCAGTGAAGTCAACCCATGGTATTCACTCCCTTAGAAGGTTGAAAAAGCCGTTTTGGCTAGATATTAAAATTGTTGTGGTAATTGTAGGACTATTAGTGGTATGTTAACTATACAATGTAAGCAAATCTCATGGTATAAAATAATAGCTTGTGGGGATTCAAATGTGATTTCCTATGATCTACATTGTGCCTGGTCAGTTGCACATTCTGAAGTTCACTAGTGTTGCTCTGAAGTATTGGACATAAAACAGGCAGACTTAGTGTAGCTGTGCATTGTAAATAACTTCTATTCCGTGATGTCAGTCAGCTGGTTTTGAAGCTATTCAGCAATAAATTTTGTACCAAACTTCAGAACCCTGCCAACACCACATCTAAAACAGTTATAACCCTTCAGTTGGTTCTGTACAGTTCAACTGCTCCCCTCAGCTACATGGTGTAGAAAATAAAAACATGGAAAAGGAAGTAGCAGCTGTGCTGATTTTGAACCTGGTTATACTGCATCTTTTTTTTTTTTTTTTTTTTTAATAGCAGTTATCTCTAGTGCTTCTAAGCTTATAATTTTGGAGCTCAGCTTCATGCAGCCTGAATATTGTGGCAGGGCACAAGGGAGCAGGGGAATGAAAGAAAAGCCACTCTCAGTCCCACCTTCCCATTTGGCATATTGTCCTATTGAACTAGTGTTGCAAAATGCATCTTAAATTACCACTTCTCAGAGACTTGATATATGTAATATGGGTGTTTAGTATTTCAGAGAAGCAATGGTTAGCAAGGCAGATCATATTGTTGTTGTGGCCTCCAGGATATGGAGAGTCTGAAGGAGAATGCAAACAAGTTAAAAAAACCCTGTTCCTTATGGCTTTCAGCCATAAGAAATTGTGGCTTTCTTGTTTACTAGCAGGCTGCACCCTGTGCTCTTTACACTCGCCTACCCCTCTCTCTCGCTCTCTCTCCAGCAGCGAGCATGCATAGCGTGATGATGTTATTCTGTTGCCCGGCTGGAAAAATTTAGTGTGTGTGTGTTGCCCATCTGGAAAAATTCTGTGTGCGTGTGGGCACACATGCAAGAGTTAGCATTGCTCAGGAAATTGGAGGAACAAAATTTAGAAAAACAGTAGTCCATTATAGTTTTTTGAATGGTAGAAAAGTTGCACTGAATTCTATAGAGATTAAAATAAAGTGTAAAATTGATTGTTTTATACTTTATCAAAAACTTTATTGTAAACTAGGTTGTTATTCTTAACAAATATGTACTCTTTTTTCCACATGCAGTTGTCCATGTGGCAAGCAAGATGTCTCCAAATCAATTCCAACTACTTTAAGTGACTGTCCTTGCGCTTTGTCAGTATACATTGTTGAAATATAAGTTGACAGTTGATATAACTGAGTTGAGGAGCCTGAGGGGCGGAAGGGAGGGGGAAGGGAGCCATGCTCCTGCTCCTGATGCCCAAGCCTGCCCTTCACTTCCTTGTCCCTTCACCGGCCTTAGTGAATGACTGGTCCCGCCATTTCCCCCCGGGGAAGCCGCTTCTACCTGCACTGCCAAGCTCTGTGCAGCCCCAGGGAGAGGCATCATTCTGTCATCTCTTCCTTCCCACAGTACCTTAAAACCTTCGCCTGGATAAAAGGTTATCCCATGCAAAGTTTGATTGCGGTAACTCTTATAGTGTCCAAGTTATTAGCGCACAAACATTCTCCTTTATATATGAGAAGACAGAGAGAGATTGATTTTTAATCTTTTGCTGCCAGCTAGTCTAAAATAGTAATGAAAGAATGGGCTGGCAGTTAGAGGTCTTAACAAGAAGAGCTTTCTGGATGTTTGTAAACATAATTTGGAGGATATTGCCCCAAGAGATGTTAATGAATCACACAATTCATTCATTATAACACATTCATACTTAGCTGTATTTTTCAAAAAAGGAACTCTGAAAACTACTAGTGAAATGTCTGAGGTAATCATTTCAGTCTTCTTATCAATTCTAGCTAAGCCTTACTACATCAGTGAATGATTTCATTTGTTATGGCAGAGCATATGCTTCCATTTTCTGAAATCTCCTAAACTCAGCTGGCTTGTTAGAGAAATTAGGAAGGCAGCCATATGACCTGGGTCCAACGCAGATGAGTTTTAAGTAAGACACATTAAGAATTACCACTTTTACTGCTAAGCATATAGATGGAGTCATCATACAAAGTGTCAAGTTTAGGAAAAAAACTGGCTTAGAAACTGGCTTAGTTAACAGAAATTAAGCCAATATACTACTGGATAGACAAATAAGAAGCAGAACTGCCATGCCTCAAAGGGTTTTCTGCTGGATAATATTAGCCTGAGAGACTCACTAGGGTCCTATACATCACCCCTTTCTCTTTACAGGAGGTAGGGTCCACAGATTAGTGACAGACTAGTCCATGGTTTTGGGGTGAAAACCCCTGATAGTCCTGGTCTCCCTTATCGGGAGAGGCTCTGTGTTAGCATGGGGGAAGATTTGGGGGGAACCCAGGCCCACCCACTACTCCAGTCCAGGGCCCCTGAAGTAGAAACATCAGTCAAGGTTGTTTGTCCTAACTTAGTAGCTTTTTCCCTGGGCCACTTCTCCAAACTCTCCCTCCAAAATGTTTCCCTCTGGTACCTGTTAAACCAGCTCTCTGCTCACACACAGCCTCTTCTTATTCCTCCCTTTCGTCTTCTGGTTCATCACTCTTTGTTTTGTCCTCCCCCCCACACTGGCTGTAATTTAAAGCCACCCCACTGGCTGTAATTGGCTGCAGGTGTTGAGTGACTTGCCTGAGGGAGCTCTCTAGTTAATTAGCCCCAGGTGTTTTTCCTGCCTTCATTTTTATTGCAGCAAATTCTAGTAGTTTATTCTGGAAAGAGAAAACCACTTATTCAGTGCCCTAGCGTGTTGCAGGCTGCTACATACACAGGTATTTAGCTCTGCACATGACTAAAATATCCCTGTATGTATGAGTCAGTGTAACTTTTTGCCCTCAGTTGTTGCATGTCAGGTCTATTTTTGTGAGCAGGCAGGTTCTACTCTTGTGAATTTCATCAAATTTTTTTTTTTGCAAAGTAAATTTTATGTTCATTATTTTACTAAGGAAACAAACAGGCACAGTCTTAGTATTGCTAGACTCATATGTCAAAAAATCATGAGCAAACACCTCCGCCCCCATGAAATTATTTTTAAAGTTGTGTTTTGGTCTGACAATTTTTGAACTCTTCTTTCCTATCCCCATTGTGTGTATGGGACAATTAGCATTGTAAGTGCTCCCAAAAGTATTCAGGAGATTTTGCACCTTGATGTAGGCATTCTCAACCCAACTTCTGTCTTGCTGCCTCATCTCTGCTCCTCCTTCAGCTCCTAGAAAACCTTCTCCGACTCTCCTAGACCTGGGGTAAGCTGCAGCAGGACCCTCCAGGAGTGGGCAATAATTTTTGCCCAGGGGCCACTTCAAAATTTTTTGAAGTGGCTCCT